CTTTTAAAAGTTATTTTATTTTAATTAAGAAAGTTTAATTGTGGGGCACCTGGGTGGCTCAGTCGGCTGAGTGTCCGACTTCAGCTCAGGTCTTGATCTCACAGCTTGTGAGTTCAATCCCCGTGTCGGGCTCTGTGCTGACAGCTTGGAGCCTGGAGCCCGCTTCAGATTCTGTGTCTCCCTCTCTTTCTGCCCCTAACCCACTCACATTCGGTCTCTGTCTCTCTCAAAAATAAATAAACATTAAAAAACATTTAATTGTGGTGAAATGCACATAATATAAAATTTACCATCTTTATCATTTTTAAGTTACAGTTCAGTAGTATTAACTACACTCACATTGTTGTACGACCAGTCTCCAGAACTCTTATCCTCTTGCAAAACTGAAACTCAATATCCATTAAATAACAACTCTCCATTTCCCCCTTTTCCCTCCCCTGGTAACGTTCTTCTACTTTTTGTCTTTATGAATTTGACTACTTCAGGTATCTCCCATAAGCAGAATCATACAGTATTTGTCTTTTTGGGATGGGCTTAATTCATTTAACATAATGTCCTTAAATTTCACCCATATTGTACTATGTGTCAGAATTTACTTTTTTTTTTTTTTTTTTTTTTTTTAAGTAAGCTTCATACCCAGCATAGACTACAACATGACCTGAGATCAAGACCTGAACTGAGATCAAGAGTAGGTCGCTTAGGGGCGCCTGGGTGGCGCAGTCGGTTAAGCGTCCAACTTCAGGTCACCATCTTGCGGTCCGGGAGTTCGAGCCCTGCGTCAGCCTCTGGGCTGATGGCTCGGAGCCTGGAGCCTGTTTCCGATTCTGTGTCTCCCTCTCTCTCTGCCCCTCCCCCGTTCATGCTCTGTCTCTCTCTGTCCCAAAAATAAATAAACGTTGAAAAAAAAATTTAAAAAAAAAAAAAAGAGTAGGTCGCTTAACAAATTGAGCCACCCAAGTTCAATTGGTTACCTTAGACTGAATCATATTCCTTTGTATGTACTTGCCACATTTTGCTTATCCATTCAGCTGTCAGTGGACACTGGGGTTGCTTTCTCCTTTTGTCAATTGTGAAAAATGTTGCTATGAACATGGGTGTACAAATATCTCTTTAAGACTATGCTTTGGGGGCACCTGGGTGGCCTGGTTAAGTGACAGACTCCTGATTGCAAACTCACAGTTTGTGCGTTTGAGCCTATTTCTGTGCTGACAGCATGAAACCTGCTTGGGATTCTCTTTCTGCCCTTCCCCTGCTTGCACACATGCACTTTCCCAAAAATAAATAAACATTAAAAAACAGAAGACTATGCTTTCAATTCTTTAGGGTATATGCCTGGAAGTAGAATTGCTGGATCATATGGTAATTCCATTAATATTTTGAAGAATGACTATACAATTTTCTGTATTTTACATTCCCACCAATAGTGTACAGGGGTTCCAATTTTTCTACCTTTTCATCAATACTTGGTATTTTCTATTAAAAATTTTTTAATGTTTATTTATTTTGAGAGAGACAGAGTGTGAGCAGGGGAGGAGCAGAGAGAGAGGGAGACAGAGAATCCAAAGCAGGTTTGAGGCTCTGAGCTCTCAGCACAGAGCCCGACACATGGCTTGAACCCACGAACCGTGACATCATGACCTGAGCCAAAGTTGGACACTCAATCGACTGAGGCACCCAGGTGCCTCAGTATTTTCTATTTTTAAAATTACTATTAGCTATCCTAATGGATGCAGGCAGGCTGTTTTATATGTATAGTTTGGGACTCTGCTTTTTCCACAGGAAAGGATCTTGAACATTTTTGCATGTCAATGGACATTTTTCTAAACATGATTTATTTTTTATTTTTATTTTCTTAAAGAGAAAGAGACAGAGCACAAGCTGATGAGAGGGGCAGAGGGAAAGAGAGAGAATCTCAAGCAGCCTCCACCTTGGGATCCTGACCTGAGCTAAAATCGAGTCTGATGCCCAACTGACTGAGCCACAGAGGTGCCCCTCAAAACATGATTTTTAATGGTTGTATTATTATTATTATTTTTAATTTTTTAATGTTTATTTATTTTTGAGAGACAGAGACATGGCACGAGTGGGGGAGGGGCAGAGAGAGAGGGAGACACAGAATCCCAAGCAGGCTCCAGGCTCTGAGCTGTCAGCACAGAGCCCGACCCCGGGGCTCAAACTCACCAGCCGTGAGATCATGACCTGAGCCAGAGTCGGAAGCTCAGCTGACTGAGCCACCCAGGCGCCCCATTCATGGCTGTATTATTGAACAGATCCTATAATGTGGTATTTAAATTTGTTTCCATTTGGGGTGCCTGGGTGGTGCAGTCGGTTAAGCGTCCGACTTCAACCAGGTTACGATCTCGCGGTCCGGGAGTTCGAGCCCCGCATCAGGCTCTGGGCTGATGGCTGATGGCACAGAGCCTGGAGCCTGTTTCTGATTCTGTGTCTCCCTCTCTCTCTCTCTGCCCCTCCCCCGTTCATGCTCTGTCTCTGTCCCAAAAATAAATAAACGTTGAAAAAAAAAATTAAAAAAAAATAAATTTGTTGCCATTAATTTTTAGGGTAGAAATCTTTGTGTACATCCCTGATATTTTCTTTAGTTGATAAGGTCCTGGAGGTTGAATTCCTGGGTCAGAGGGTATATATTTTCAATATATATTGCCAGTTTTCTTTCCTGAAAGGTTGCATCAGTTTATATTCCTATTAGCAGTGTAAGAGTATCACCTACACTGAATATTAACAGACAACATTAATTAATTAATTTTAATTTGAGAGAGAGAGAGACAGGAAGAGGGGCAGAGGGTGAGAGAGAGAATCTTAAGCAGGCTTCATGCTCAGCGTGGAGCCAATGTGGGGCTCTATCCCATGACCTTGGGATCATGACCTGAGCTAAAATCAAGAGTCCAACCCAACAGACTGAGCTACCCAGGTACCCCATTTGCCTGTTATTCTTTTTTTTTAAATTTTTTAAATGTTTATTCATTTTTGAGAAACAGGGAGAGACAGAGTGTGAGTGGCGAGGGGCAGAGAGAGGGACACACAGAATCCAAAGCAGGCTCCAGGCTCTGCGCTGTCAGCACAGAGCCCCACGCAGGGCTGAACCCAGGAATGGGGAGAACATGACCTGAGCTGAAGTCGGAGGTTTAACTGAGGTTTGACTGAGCCACAGGCTCCCCTGTCTGTTATTCTCTTTTCTTCTTTCTTTCTTTCTTTTTTTAAAGTTTATTTATTTTGAGAGAGAGATAGATAGAGAGAGAGAGAGGGTGTAAGCAGGGTAGGGGCAGAGAGAGAGGGAGAGAGACAATCCAAGAATCCCAAGCAGGCTCCAAGCTCTCAGTACAGAGCAGGAGGCAGGGCTGGAACTCATCAACCATGAGATCATGACCTGAGGCAAAATCAAGAGTCCTAGGCTTAAGTGACTGAGCCACACAGGTGCCCCATGTCATTCTTGAGTTGTTAGAACTTTTTATTATTTATTTATTTATTTATTTTATTTTTTTCAACGTTTATTTATTTTTGGGACAGAGAGAGACAGAGCATGAACGGGGGAGGGGCAGAGAGAGAGGGAGACACAGAATCGGAAACAGGCTCCAGGCTCTGAGCCATCAGCCCAGAGCCTGACGCGGGGCTCGAACTCACGGACCGCGAGATAGTGACCTGGCTGAAGTCGGAAGCTTAACCGACTGCGCCACCCGGGCACCCCAGAGTTGTTAGAACTTTTTATACACAAGCTCTCTTTGCCATTCATGATAGTCCTTCTTTTTCTTATTTACTTCTAAAGTTTATTTTATTTTCAACTTCCAGAAGTTTAAAAAGTTTATTTGGTTACATTTGTTCATCTTTTACCTTACAATTTCTCATTTTATACTTAGAAAACCCTTCTCCATTCTGAGGTCGGATGCTCATCTCTATATTTTTTACTTTGTTTTATGTGTATCTCTGTGTTTAGCATTTCACTCTTGAATTAATTGTAATTTATTTCATTGTACGTTTTGATAAGAAATCTAACCCAGACAGTTAACTAATCGTCCCAGCACCGTTTTAAAAGTAAACCATTCCTTTCTTGGTTAATTTGAAATGCTCCCTTTACCAAATACATTGTTTATGCATTCGGTCTGATTCTAGACTTTTTACTCAGCTTCCCATGGTGTTACTAGGAAGAGTGAGTAGTCATTCAGGAAATGACAAGATGTATTGCCCTGGAGTATTGTTGCTCAGGTAATGAACCGTCTGGTTAAAAGGAGTGTATTGAAACAACCAATTTGAAAATGTATGAGAATGATTTTGTTGGAGTTCTTAAGTAATTAAGACGGGCTTGTGATGACTAAACATTTTAATCTTGTTTTTGAACATTGCTGACAGGATATTCAGTCATCACCCAGTTGCAAGGCACAGTTCCAAGGGCCATTCTAAAGAACTCCCTTCCCCCATGTCGCCATACTGTCACTTCCCTCCGGTCCCAGCTAATTTAAGAAGCCATCAGGTGATGAGCGGGTGTGTGCGGAGGTGGCAGTAGATGAAGGCTTAGTGAGCAAACATGTCCACATTGCCTCGGTTTGCTGTTCCTTCCTGGGGTGGAATCTATGAAGGGCTCTGATGACTATTCTTAATAAGACTTAAAAGCATGTTTTTCTTATCCTGCACAATCCCTCGCGTGCACGGCCGGGTACTGAGAAATTCCTACCCCGCCCAGTCGCCTCATTCTATCGGGATTGGGTTTGTTGAGGTCTTTCAAAAAGGCGCTGGAATGCCCCACGTGAGTTCACCCGGCCCGCTAGGGGGCAGCCGAGACCTGGGCAGCTGCAAGAATTACAGGCAGCCGCAGGGATAAATGGAGGCAGAGGGAGTGACGCGGGGAGTGGTTTTGCACATCGAGGTCAGCGTCGTGCTTCCAGCTTGCTTTACGGCTTCGGCAGATTGCTTTGCGGCTCTTCTCCCCTTCCCCCCCTTGATTTACGGCTCCTCCTCCTGTCCTTCCCCGCCCAGGGCTCGCTCTTGATTTGGAGCTTCTTCCCAGGGTTCTCTGGCACTGCTTTCCCAGTCTCCTCTGCGCGGCTCTATCTAAACTAGCTTCCCTTTGTACTTAGCGTAGACCGAGCTCCCTGCGTGCACCGCGCGCTGCCAGAAGCGCGTAAGTGAGGAGGGAGGGGGGAACGGCCCAGTTGGGGTGGTTCCGGCTGGGGACTGTGGATCGTGGGGCGTCGCAGGTTTTGAGCAGATCGCTTGGGGGCGGCGGTTGAGCTTTTCCTGGCCACGGCAGAGTGATCCTGAGTCCCGAGGCCTGTACTAATTAGTACAGTAGGGGTCAGGATCACGGCTTGCTTAGAGTGTGGTTAGGAGGAACAGGGGCACAGGAAACTTGGACCAACACTCCGAGAAGCCACGACGGGGGTGCAGCAACATACTGTTAATTGTGGCGGCCCCCTGCACGGCGCGAGAACTCCAGAGGCTGCTTATTGAGCGGAGTGAAGGGTGCTGAAATTTGTGTCGGTAGCTGCACGGAGTTGGGATGAATATCAGGAGGGAAGGAATTATCCATTTTAAAGAATTTGATACTCAAGTTTAGCCGCATATTCAGCCTTTATAGATTTTTTTTTTTAATTGAGATACAATTCACATACGATTACATTTCATCCATTTAAACAGTTCGGTGGTTTTAGTATATTCACAGGGCTTTGCGACCATCACCATTGTCTAGTTCCAGAACATTTTTATCACCCCCCAAAGAAACCCACAACTCATTAGCGGGCACTTCTCATTTGCTCCTATCCTCACCCCAGTAATCAACTTTTTGCCTTTGAATTTGCCAATTCTAGATATTTCACAGAAGTGGAATCCTACAGTTTTTGTTTTTCGTATGATGGGTTTATTTCACGTAGCATAATGTTTTGAAAGTTCATGCATGTTCTAGCCTGTGCCAGTACTTCGCTCTTTTTTATGGTTGAATAACAATCTGTTGTAGGGATATTCCACATTTTGTTTGTCCATTTAGTTAATGGGCATTTGAGTTTTTTGTACTTCTGCATTACTTTTGCATTACTAGACCTTTTAAGGTCTGTTCCTCCATACATATCACAGTTTGAGTCACATTTTTTAACTAAATTCTCATAAGCCAGCATTATTTAACTCCGGGACTGGCTCAGATATTTTAGTGGCCTCAGGTCTGGGATCTTTTGGGGAAGTTTGTCTTTTTAAAGTCTTTTCTCTTAGACCACTAACTGTAGTGAAAGCAGAGAAATATTTGTGTTTCTGTGTGATGTGTGCCATGATCTGTTGTTACCTTGTGATATGAGCTGGGTGTAGCTGGAGATGAGTGTATGAAAAATATAACTGAGCTAGCTGTGGGAGAGAAGTTTTATATCAAAACAAAAACCCTGTTCAGTCCTCATTATTCATGGAATGTGTTTTGGGGAATTCACCTCACTAAAATTTCTTTGTAACCCCTAATTCAACACTCACGGTGCTTTTAAGTATATTTAGTGTCACATTTTTCTCATTTTCATACTTTTTGTTAGCGATTTCAGTTTGGAATGGCCTCCAAGCATATTGCTGAAGTGCTGTCTAGCATTACCAGTGTAAGAAGACTGTGATGTCTCACAGAGAAAGGAAAGCTTCCTTTAGATAAGCTGTTATATGCTTATCTAAAGCAGTTATATGCTGCTGGCTGTGGGTTCAATGTTAAGGAGTTAATATGTATTGAGTAAGGTATCTTTCAACAGAAACACACATCAAACAAGATTATGTATTGACTGATGTAAGAAAATATTGTGACCAGAGGCTCACAGGAACTTAATCTTGTGTTTCTCCTAGGAGTAGTGGTTTGGTATTTGATAATTTGGGGTTCATGGTGACTTTATAGAACTACCGTGAATAATGAGAATTGACTGTATAACCGATTTCATTATTGGCTCACTAATGCCAGTTATCGGTAATTAGTATATGGCTCTTTTGCTCTTGAATGGCTGAGTGTGGATTACAGTGCAATGTGTGCTTTGATGTATGTCTAAAATGCTGTAGGAACATAGATTAATTCTTAGAGTGTAAACTACATAAAGCTTGAAAGAACAGACAACATTTGAAGTTTCACAAATAGAGCAGCATGTACATAAATGAAAATAAAAGAAAAAACCTTAATACCCAATCCTGCTGTTCTTGATCCTTGGAATCAGAACCTCCCTCATCACTAAGTTCTGTCAATTCTGCCTCCTGAAAACCATATCCAGAGTCCATCCTTTCTCAACATTTCCATGATTTTCCTTTATCATTTTTTTTCTGGACTGTGGTAACATAGACTTCTAACTGATCTCTTCCTCAGTTATTCACTGTTGACAAGAGACTGCAGAGACTTAACTGACTTAGTTTATTTTATTATTTTTTTTTTAATTTTTTTTTCAACGTTTTTTATTTATTTTTGGGACAGAGAGAGACAGAGCATGAATGGGGGAGGGGCAGAGAGAGAGGGAGACACAGAATTGGAAACAGGCTCCAGGCTCCGAGCCATCAGCCCAGAGCCTGACGCGGGGCTCGAACTCACGGACCGCGAGATCGTGACCTGGCTGAAGTCGGACGCTTAACCGACTGCGCCACCCAGGCGCCCCGAGAGAAAGAATCTTAAGCAGGCTCCACGCCCAGCGCAGAGCCAAAATCAAGAATTGGAAGTTGAACCAACTGAGCCACCCAGGCACCCCAATGTTTCAAGTTTTTTAAGGTGGCTTACAATACCCTTCATGATCATGCCCTGTCCAGTCTTTAATAAAGATGAGAAAAAGTCAAGACAAAAGAGAAAAATTTCCATATGTAACATTCCTCATTCCCTCTTACTCCTTCCTCCCTCCTTTCGTGTATAATTAGAAATGCTTTTAGGTGAAAAGGAAGTGGATAAGAATAAAAACATTCTTGCTAATCTCGTTGACCTTCTTAATATCTCTCCAATTCATCCATTTCTTGCTCACAGCCCCTGCCCTGGTTCAAGCTCTTTCCCTTTCCATCCCACAAATCTTTTCTTGGCCATATGTGTTTATTTCTCTCAGAAACCATCTTTCAGAAGAATTCTTGGGTCATATGGCAGATGCATGTTTAATTTCTAAAGAAATTACCAGTTTTATTTCCAAAATTATGAAACTTTAAGGCTTATAGAAGAAAATATAAAAGCATATCTTAATGACCTGGGGGTGTGTAGAGGTTTCTTAGACAAGACTTAGAAAGCAATCCCCACTTAAAAAAAAAAAAAGACAAATATGATTACATCAAATTTAAAACTTCTTATCACAGACAACTCTATGAAAATGAATAGGCAAGTACCTACACCTACCTAACAGGACTGATCTCCAGGGCACATAAAGGGCCATTTAGGATTCAAGGACTGGGGATAATCTGTGGCTGCTGCTCTACCCTCTGAACCTGAGGCTCCATCTTCAAGTCATTATTCTTTTTTCTTGAAGGGTGGCATGTGCTTACAGCTGAATAGTTTTAACCAGTTTGTTTCTAGTCAACAGTGTATGAGAATTCCAGTCGCTTCACATCCTTGCCAACTTTTGGTGCTGCAGTCTTTATTTTTAGCCATTCTGGAGGGTACAGAGGGGTATGTCATTATGGTTTTAATTTTAGTCCTTGATTACTAATGCTGTTGAACACTTTCCTGTGCTTATTGACATTTGTATATCTTTCTTTGTTAAGTGCCTGCTCAGATTTTGACCACTTAAAATTGGGTTATTGGTCTTTATTATTGAGTTGTAGGAGTTATATCTTTTTCTTTTTTATATCCTGGATGTCAGTCTTTTGTGGTTGCCTATTCATTTTCATAGGGTGTCCTTTGATAAGCAAAGCATTACATTTTGATGTAGTCACGTTTATCATTTTTTTCTTTTATAGTTATAGCTTTCTGAGTCCTAAGAAATCTTGACTACCTCTAGGATGTAAAGATATAGTCGTATATTTTGTTCTAGAAATTTTATAGTTGTAGCTTTTTTTTAATTAAAAAATTTTATTTATTTATTTTTTGGGAAAAGATTTTTTAAATTTTTATTTGAAGATAGTTGACACACAACATTACATTAATTTCAGGTGTATGACATAGTAATTCAATATCTGTATATGTTATGCTGGCCTCACCACAAGTGTAGCTACCATCTGTCACCATACAACACTATGATAGTATTGACGGTATTCTCTATGCTGTGCCTTTTATTCCCATTGCATGACTGCAAGTCTCTATTTTCTACTCCTTTCACTCATTTTGGCTATCCTCCCAACTCCCTTCCTCTGGCAACCATATAGGTCTGATTCTGTTTTGTGTTTGTTTATGTATTCATTTGTTTATTGTATTCTATGTATTAGTGAAATCATACGACATTTGTCTTTCTCTGACTAAATTATTTGTTAGCATTATACTCTCTAGATCCATCCATGTTGTTGCAAATGTCAAGATTTCAATCCTTTTTTATGAACTATTATTTTATCTATTCATCTATTGATGGATGTTTAGACTTCTTCCATATCTTGGCTTTTTAAAATAATGTTGCAGGGGCGCCTGGGTGGCGCAGTCGGTTAAGCGTCCGACTTCAGCCAGGTCACGATCTCGCGGTCCGTGAGTTCGAGCCCCGCATCGGGCTCTGGGCTGATGGCTCGGAGCCTGGAGCCTGTTTCCGATTCTGTGTCTCCCTCTCTCTCTGCCCCTCCCCCGTTCATGCTCTGTCTCTCTCTGTCCCAAAAATAAATAAAAAACGTTGAAAAAAATTAAAAAAAAAATAATGTTGCAATAAACATAAAGCTGCATATATCTTTTCAAATTAGTGTTTTCATTTTTTAAGGAGGGGTGAACACCCAGTAGTTTAATTATTGGATTATATGTTATTTCTATTAAAATTTTTTTTTATTTTCTTTTTTTTTAATGTTTATTTAAAAAAAAATTTTTTTTAAATCTTTTTTTTATTTTTGAGAGAGAGAGAGACAAAGCGTGAGCAGGGGAAGGGCAGAGAAAGAATCTGAAGCAGGCTCCAGGTTCTGAGCTGTCAACACAGAGCCCCACGTGGGGCTTGAACTCACGGACTGTGAGATGATGACCTGAGCTGAAGTTGGATGCTTAATCGACTGAGCCACCCGGGTGCCCCTATAGTTGTAGCTTTTTAAAAA